GCTAATGGTACGGGCGAGCTGCAGCTAAGAGCCTATACAGCAAAGCCTGCTGAGAACAGGCAGGTTTTACTATCACTGTCAAAAAGCATGAAACGGCATCTTCTGTGGTGAGTAACAATCTCACTGATTGTCAGAGAATCAGCTGCTTCATTCACAAGCCACCTGCTCTGAAAGTTGTGTAATGTACAAACTGCTCTTAAGGCACAGAAGGACTTAGTGCTCGTATTAAGTACAGGGTGTACATCCACTTACTGGCATCTTATATAGGCTAAAAGAACAGCCTTGGGAAACGCAGATGCGAAAGGCTGAATTGACAGCTTTGCAAAGGTGACTTAGATGACCAATTCTTATGAGAACTAGCCAAATGTAAAGCTCCAGAGCTCAAATAAGCTTGAAAAAACTCAGTCTAAACTCTCCCAAAGTAAACGGCTTGAGACCTACTTAAACTGAGAAAGCCAGAAAGCCGAAAACACGCCACTGTATCTGGCTGGAGAGCATTTTGTAATTTGCCTGAACCCAGTAGAAGGGGCAGCAGCAACGCTCAAACCTTAGAAAGACTGAAACGTGCCCCAAAAGTAACCGACAGTACAGTCAGATCTGGATCTTAGGAGAAAATGAACAGCTCAGCCCTGTAAAGACTCCTCGCACGGCTTGCAAAGCGACTCTCATGCAACCATTCACAAGCGGTCGAATGTGTTCTGGTAGGGCTCAGAGAACATTTCTGACACGCTGTAATTGCTTGCATGCAGATAGAGCAGGGGGACAAGGACAGGGGCAAGGAGATTAAAAGTAAAAAGCTGTTTACAGCATTGTGCTTCTTTCCAAATGACGTTCTGTTATACGGCCCCAGCTTTATGTACAACTACTGAGTTTCATGCTAATGTAACACTGCGGCAAGCAGCGCAGTGGAGAATCTGACTTCATGTGCTATGGCATATATTGTTGGTGGCTCTGTTACTACATTTTATAAGGTCATTTTTCTTGGTATGGGAACACTGTTTTTCTTGGTGTGCAAGGCCTGCTATGGAAAAATTAGAAGTGATGGGAATAAACTTCTCGATGAAGTATCTTCTGTCAGAAGGAAAGCACAGATTTTAGAACATCGTGAAGTATTACAAACATCTTCCAAAATTTATGTTCAAGCCTTTCCTTCATTTTAGAGCTATGTAAAAAGATGAAATCATACCCAAGCAGCATCTTCCCATCTCTTACTATAGCTTCAATTTGCTTTTATTCAGAAGCAAAAGTTTGCACTGATTTATTTCATAAATATATTCCACAATGACTTCTGGATGCTAATTCAATTAGACCTAATCGGGATCTCACCAGAAAAATAAAAACAACCATGAAATCTTCCCCCTTCCCCAATTCTCCTTTTTTTTTCCTTTGGTGGAGATGGAAGGAGGGAATGAAATCAGATTGAGAAACAAAAGGCTGACTCCCTCTCACAACTCAAAACCATGAGATGTTTTACAACCCCAATCTGGATTTCCCATTTTGCATTAGTTTACGCTACCACAAATCAGTTGTAACAGCAGCATGAAACTGCAGCAACGCAGAAGTCCAGTGCCTGTTTCTGCAGCGGGGAACCAAGGAAGCCTGTCCCTGTATCTCACCCATCCCAGTGAGGACCAGAAGAGTCCTTCGGGATTTTCTCCTTGCTGCTGCACCATTACAGCCAGTCACAGCAACACAACACGGTCCCAGACGTCTGGGAACTCCAGAGGCTCACACAGCATGGGGAAAGGCACCAGAAGGGAGGAAGAAATAACTTGTTTAATCTAGGATGGAAGTTTTTTCTGGATCATTTCATCTATCAGCCTAATCACTTGCAGGGGTTAACATAACTGAAAGGCCAAAAGGAATCAAAACCTATCCTCCAAAATCCTTTCTTCATTTGAAGAGATGGCAGAAAGAGAAGCTTTTCCTCCGTTAATGAATCAGACTTCAAATACAAACAAGCCTCTGCTATTTAAATCTCCAACAGTCTTTTAAGATTATGGATGATTTCTCCTGAACCCACTACGGCTCAAGGATGTGTAATTTTGGGGGGCTGGGGATGGTTTTGGGGTTTTGCCTTTTTTCCTTCCAAGTGAAGACTAACAATTGAGGTTCTTTCAGGCACACAGAACCAAATTCTGACCACTTTGTTAGTGCAAACAGACCACCTCAGCTGTAAAATACCACACCCCCTGTTTGCTAATAGCCAGTTTGTTTTCATACAAATTTGCCTTGTCAAAATACATCCATGAACAGTTGCTGCAGAAATTGCTCTTTCCTGGGTTTGCCACAACGTGTGTAACGCACTTCGTCAAATGAAATTCACCCAGTGAAACACTGACCTAATCACTTCTCACAGCCTTTTCTCTCCATAGACATACCAAGACAGAGAAAACAATGTATAAGTGATAGCAACCAACAGGGTTGGGTTTGTGCTGCTTTGCTTTCCACATGGATTCTTTACCTGGGAATGCACTGCACTACGATTTTGCACGTGCCACAATAATAGCCAAAGAAATGCCAAAATCTAAAGATCCCAGTGCAAACTTGCCATCCAGCTCTTGTTGTGATGCTCTGAATGGAAGCATCTGCCTGTCAGAGTACAATTTTCTAACGCAGGTTACAGCATTTTCCAACTAGCAACAGAGTCCATTAAAGCTATAACCCCCCAAAACTGATAGACTTCCATCTGTTTAACTGATTGCTCTAATCAATGTAATCTCCTCCCATAACGTCTTGTACAGACACGCTCTCTCAAATACATAACTGCAGAATCAATTCAGTTGGGAAGTATATAAACATTTCAATTCTACAAATGGCCAAACACGATGAAAATAGGAACTGCTAAAGCTATCAGGATGCTTAAAGGCACAGGGGTTTATTAAGTTATCCGTAAAGAGAATAAATGGACAGGAAAAAGCCTTGAAGTCAACAATCAACAGATTTTCACGGGGCTGCCAACTGCAATGATAATAGTAGAGGATAATTATCTGAAGATGATTTTCCTCTTGCTTCACCCTAACCTTACAATAGCACTCTAAAAAGAGCTCCTCGGGGAAATGGCATCACCCAGAGTTCCCACTTGCCCAGATGTTTCCCTCATTATGTTACAAGCCTGTCAAGAAAAGGCAAATTCAGGGTTATTCTAATGATAGCAAACACCTCATAAAAAACCTCTCCAAATTTACTTTTCCAAGGAACATCATTTTAAAAGGCATTTCAAGTGCCCATGAGGAAAGAAAGCATCATTTATAAAACACTATTACCAGAAATCTTGAAGATGTTAAAAAAACCATCCTGGAATGTCAAACCGATGATAAAACTCCAACGCAAGGAGAAAGAGCATCGTGGGGCCTTACCCAAAGCATACGATGGAGCACTTCCAAGCAGGACTCCCACCAAGTTAACAGAATCATGGAACAGTCTGGGTTGGAAGGGACTTTCAAAGGTCACCTAGTACAACCCCCTGCAATGAGCATGGACATCTTCAACAGGAGGTTTTCTGAGTTCAGAGGACCCAATCCCAGCCTGTGACTGACTGGGATGTTGAGCCCACAGATCCGGGTTCCATCCTGTTGCCAGTGGTTTCACTTTGTGGACCACCAGCTGCAGGTCCCATGCAAACAAGGTGATCATTTCAGCCCACATTCTGCTCATTTTCCCTCATGCTCTACAGAAATGTGCTCTGCTGGTACTCCGGTTCTGTCTGAGATGATAAAGGGGTTTACATTGATTTACGGTGGTAATTATTCTACATTTTCTGTCAGTTCTTTGCCTGATTTGGCTGTTAATTTTTCTTTAAATTGGATACAGGGAAAAAAAGTTGGTCAGGGCCCACGCAACAGACCAGAGATTCACAAGCTTTGCCTGGGAATTTTGATGACTCTGCAGCTTTTAACACTGTCTCCAAACATTTGAAATGAATGGCAACATATGACACTGAATAAAAAAGAACCACCCGCAAATAGAAGGGAACTAACAAAAAATCCCTTTACCTCTGCTGGACGTAATTCAATGGGATCAGACTGGCTGGGTCACAAGCTCTGTCATTCATGGCTACAAGCACCTATCACCCTACAGTTCATGGCCATTGAGCACTGCCACCCGCTCGCCACGCACCAGCCCTCACACCTCCAAGGCGGCGTTTTCCCACCTCAGTCCCTCGGAAGAGGGGATGAAGGCTCCCCGAGGTGACACACAAGGCAAGCCCTCGGACGGGTCTGTACCTGCGGCAGCGCCTGCGGGAGCCTGGGGCTCGGGGGAGGCCTTGGCAGGTGCCGGCTCCATCACCCCCGTCCTGCCCCGTCCCGCCCCGGGGGCGCGGCGCGGCTGTCGGCACTCACCTGCCGCTGGCTGTGGTTGCCGGCGCCCGGGGGCCCGTGGGGGTCGCCGCCGCCGCCGCCGCGCAGCACGGTGATGTGCAGGGTGAGCAGGAGGAGCCCCAGCAGCAGCAGCAGCTCGGCCGCCAGCCGCACCATCCTCTTGAGCCGGGCGGCTTTAGGGCCCCGCGGCGGCGGCGGCCGTGGAGGAGGCGGAGGAGGAGGAGGAGCCGCGGCGGCCGCCGCCGCCGGGGCCGCCGCCGTCGCCGGAGCGGCCCCGGCCCCAGCCCCAGCCGCAGCCCCAGCGCCGGCCCCGGCAGCCGCAGGACGGGCGGCGGAGGCCGCGCCGCTCTCGGCGTCGGCGGGGCGGGCGGCGGGCGCGGGGCAGCGGCGGCAGCAGCAGCAACAGCAGCGGGGGCCGCCACACCACGGCGGAGCCACGTCGGGGCGGGACGCCGCGGCGGCGGCGGCGGCGACGAATATCGCGGCGCTGCCCGGCTGCGGCGGGGGGCGGCAGGTAGCCGCGACGGGGCCGCGGGCCGGCGGCGTCTCTGCGGGCAGCCCTGCAACCCAGAGGCACCGTCGGAGGGAAGGAGCGGGCCGAGCCCCCGCAGCCTCGGGGAGCCGCGGGCCGGCGGAGAGCAGCGGGGCTCGGCTGCCGGCGGGGAGACGCTGTGAGGACGGGGGGGAGCCGCCGGGAGCGTGTGTGCGAGTGAGAGGGAGGAGGGAGGGAGAGGCGGAGGGGAGGGGGGGGGGGAGCTGGGGACGACTCTCACATGGCGGGGAAGCCGGGACGCTCCGAGGGGAGGAGAGAGGTTGGGGCTATCGCCTCCCTCCTCGCGAGGGGATGGGGGTGGCCCCTGGACCAGCTTCTCCCCTCTGCCGTGTCCTCGCCCGCCCCGTGGACCCCCCTCAGGGCGCCCGTCGAGGCGTCGTCCTGCCCTGTCCTGCCTTGGCCGCCCTGCCGGGCCCCGGCCCGTCCCCTCGCGTTCGGGGTGTGAGGGAGCGGGGCCGCGCCGCGACCTCCCCGCCCGCTCCCAGCTCTCGACGGGGCGGCTGCGGCTCCAGGGGGGCAGAGCGCTGCTTCCCCCCGGCTCCCCTTCCTCCTCCTTCTCCTCCTCCTCTCTACCCCCCGGCTCGGCCGTGGAACACGGGTGAGGACGGAGGGCGAGGGGCTGCGAAAAGCTTCAGTTGCCTGCCCTCCCTGGGAGCTGGATACCTGGCTCCATCTCTCCTCTCTCTTCCCTCCAGTGGCCCTAGGGCTGGCAAGGGCAGCTCCGCGCTCTCTCCTGCCACCGTGCGTGCGTGTTTGCAAGCGACTGGCTCTCCTCCTGGCTCCTGCTGCTTCTGCTGCTTCCAGACCCAACTTTCTCGCCCTCTCGCACTTATGTCGGGAGAGGTGCGTGTCGGATGCTTTTATACTGCCCTGCCTCCCACCCCTGCTGTCCTTCCCCCCTTCCCCGCTGCCCCCCTTTCCCTTCTCCCTCTCTGCAGCTCCTACTGCAGCCTAGTTTCTCCCCCCCCCCGATCTCCTCCTCCTTGTGCCGACCTGCCCCTCCGCAAGCCCTGGTTACCCAGTGCAGCCGGCCAGGGCACGCTGCCAAGGCACCCGCACCCGTCCCGCTGCACCGCTGCACCTTGCACAGTGCCTTCCACCGCTGCTCCCCAGGGACGGAGCTCTGCTGAAGTGTCCTGTCCCCTCCGGCTGGTCTGTGCATTCCCGGCACAGGAGGACTTGGGCTGCTGGGGTTTTCCCTTCCTCTTGGTTGCTGACTGCATAAGTGCAGTGGAAAAAAACCTTCCTCCCTCGAGTGGGAGGCCCCCCAAATTGAAAATGAACGTGAATTTGAAAAGATGTGAAAATGAGGGTTGGATTATCGCTTGCAGTGTCTTTGCATTCAGTCTGATGGAGCCAAACCTTTTTTCGGTGACTGAAGATGCATCTCAGTGTAACAAGGACACAGCTCAAATAAATGAACTTGAAACATAAATAAAGTCACCTAACAGAAAATGGGAGTTTTGGAGTTGTTATTCTTCCACAATTGGGAATGTAATGTGTAAAAGTGAGGATATGAATGCTCATGCTCAGTGCCAGTGACAGCCGGGACATCAAAATGTCTGAGTGAGCAACTGGTGAAAAAGAAGTGTTCCCTATCCAGAATATGTTCAGTCTAAGACCAATGTCCTCAGCAGGGTTCCTGTGATGTAAAGGTGAGATGTGCTTCCAGCATGCGGTGCCAGCAGGTCCCAAGGCACATCGTGGGATCCTCTGCCTGCAGTGTGCCTGACCTGGGAAGCTGGAAGAGTTGGGACGTGAGCAGAATTGGAGCTCACGGGAGGTTTCTTGCAGGTCTCATTGTGTCTGAAGGCTGTGGTCACAAATGGCTCGGAATGATGTCTCATACCCTTCCAGTCAGGTTTCCTTCCAGTGATAACCACTGTAAGTGATTAACCATCAGGCAGGAGCATGGTTAAAATAATTGCACTGGAGTATCGCTCAAGATGTGACCAAAAGCCATAACCCCAAACCCTTCGGATTTAAGGAGTTTTCATCCACAAACACATTGTGTAAGCACTGCAGTAGGAGCGATGGGCGCAGATGATTGTGCAGGGTAGGGGCTGCCCTGAGTGCGTTACACGGAGGTACAACCCCTCCACCAGGTTTATAACCATTTATAACTCATTGATAAATACCTGATCTCGCGCTGATGCTCTGGGTTATGCAGCAAATCACACAGAGCTATTTGATATCACATAAAGCCATCACAACCTGCGGGACTGTCACGTGGGCTTTAAAAAATGTGGTGGGTTTTTTTTTTTAACCCAAACATTCCTTGGGCTAATCAAAATATTGAGAAGATAAAAACACTGATGTGCTTCAGCTGTCATTGCTCAGCCTGGGCTCTGCACCCAGCGGCAGCGGGACCGAGTGGGGCGGTTAAAGAGGGAGATGGATGGGCAGCGAAGAGGCAGGAGAGCTGTCCCCCAGGGTCTGCCAGTGTCTGACCCAGGCTGGTGGCTGTCAGTGGATCCCAGCTGTTGAGGAAAAGTGGAAACTTGGCACGTGAGTTCTGTATTTCAGAGCTTAATAGCACAAATCGGCAGCCAGAGCGAGGCTGAAGGCTCGTAATGTGAAACAGTCCGAGTGACAGCCTGGTGAAAAACACACACATGGATCTGCCGCCGAGCTCTGGGTAATGTAAGTTCTCCCTTGCCTTATGAAAGAGACTGAACCAAGAGACATCTTTAATCCAGATGAGATGGGCCTGTGCTGGTGCGCGTTTCCTCGTGGGACATTCAGTTTTGTGCATTAAAGTGCCGTGGAAAGACAGTGAGGGATGGAGCAGTGCTACTATTGGCAGTGAGCGGGTGGCAGCAAGAAACCAAGGCCTCTTCCCACTTGAAAACTTTGGCATAGAAGCAGCACTTGGGTACTGGGATGCCTGCGTGGCTGTGGGCAGGCAGCTGGGGAGCAGGGAGCACACTGTGAGCTGTAGATGCCAATTGGAATCCACACAAACGCTGTTAAATCAGATGACTTCATCGATGAGTCCAGATGACTGAAGTGCAACCTGTAGGGAAGATGGACTTAAAAGCAGAGGGAAAGCTTGCTCTAGCAGCTGCTGTCTAGTCCCTAGAAAGTGAAGTGAGGGTTTGCCTGGGGGAGAATATCCATGGGGAGGCTGAGGGGGATGTTGCTCCAGGGATGTGGTAAATCAGTAAGGGGGTCTGATGGTGGTGCTGTGGTAAGGGAGGTGAGCTCCTTTCATAGCTCCTTCCCTGTGAAGTTTCACAGCTCACACCTCAGCTTTTACCTCCTATTTCTCTTCCCTTCATTGATAAAGGCAGACTCAGCATGTGTGAATTCCCAGCCCCTCACCAGTGCCAGAGGAAATACATTGAGCTGAAGCTCTTCAGAAGTGGGTTAAATTCCCCCACTTTCTCAGCGTTTGTGATACAACATGGTCAGGTAGTGTAGCTTGGCTGCTGTCAGGAGTCAGTAAGCTGCTATAGCTCAACATCTCAACATCTGATGTTCTGCCTCTCTGAAGCCCCACAGATCCTATGTTCCTCACTGCATGGCTTCAAAAGGGGGTTGCTGCTGTCCCCACCATGTGGTGAGGACTCTCTTGGGGAGGTGTTTCAAGGATCTGTTGGCTTCAGTGACAGCACTGTCAGATGAAGGGCCTCCTGGTCTCCCTTAGACCAGACTGTAGCAAACATGCACAAGAGCTGTCCATGGCCACCGTGCCCCTTCAGTGCTCAAGGCCAAGGAACTGTGTCTGGGGTTGAATTTGCAATGTCCTCGCTGACACTGCAAGTCGTGTGCCTGTCTCCTGCCATGGCCATCGTGCCTAAGCATCCCATGTGCTGTCTACTGAACTGTATATGGTCAGCCTCACTATATCACTGTGCAGGCACCTACACTTGGTGTTATGAGTCCTGAAAACAAAATACTGCCTAACTGAACCCAGCACTTGCAGAGGCTGGGTGGTCCTAGTGACTGAAATGAATAGTCATTGATTGTACCTGGTCAACTGTGAAAACCCCCTCCTTTCGGATGAGTGCCATCAAGTGACACCCTTCAAGGCCAGTGTGAGAACTGCTGGATAAGGAGGGAGGAGAAAAAAATGCTGTATGATATATCACAACATACGTCACTTTATATGCTTTATCTCAGAAGTGGGGAGCACATAAAGGTGGGTTTATGTCAGAACATCATAGCTCACTTGGGTCTTAGACCCCATTTGGCCCAGCAGTTGAAAGGTATTGGTGCTTACCTGCTTGTCCACTGCACTGTCCGTCCTGGTACACTGCTGAAGGACTGCGGAGGCATTGTCTCTGACAAGACTGATAGCTTGTCAGAGGAGTGTAGCTGGTAGAGCCCCATCTGCCCTCCTCAGCTCACTCCTGCCTGCGCCCACTCCCAGGATGCTGTTTTATCTTTAAGCCTGCGGGTTGCTTTAAAATTATCTGGGATGAAAACCTGGCTCCACTGAAGTCGTTGGCAAAGCTCCCATTGACTTCAGAGGAGCCAGGATTTCACCCTAAGACGCTTTGTAGATTATTGGTGAATGGAAAGCATACATCTGGCTTCTTGAGGGTTATTATTGTTGGTGGTGACCTCTGCTCTGGCGAGCATTGAGCAAGGCTGGGTTGAGACAGATGGCTAAAGCTTTCTCTGCCTCTTCCCCTGCTTCCTCACAGGGGCTTTGCTTTACCGCTCATCATCTTGGATGCTGCTTATCAAGGAATACCTTCCCGTCGCCTGCCGGTGGAATTTAATGCCTGTTTGCCCACATTCCCCTTCCCCCAACACCAGCAGATCAGCAGATAGGAGACAGAATGGCTGATTAGCTTCTAGCTCCAACCTCTTAGCTATAAGCTGCAAATGCACACACAAGGGTCTTCTCTTGAAAAAAAAAAAGAAAGGAAAAAAAGAATCACCTTCTCCTGCAGGCAGGCTAAGTCTTTCTGTGATCTATGGGTCCTTCATCTCAATAAATCACAACATGAATAGTAACCCCCCTCTTTTTAAAAGAACTGATCAGTTTAGAGTTCTCTATTTCCCTGCTTCTCCTAGTCCGGTGCTTTCCTTCCCACCTACATGTTTTACCACCAGCCTGGTGTAACGGCTGGGTCAGGATTTCTGAGCTCTGCAGCACCTTGTGTGACAGTCTGGAAATTCATTAAAACTCGCAGCAGAAGCGGAAACGTGTAACGTGCAGTCTGAACGATGGGATATGGAAATGGAGAAAACAGCCCAGTTTCCTGCCTGCTATTTGTTTTCTAATACCGAATCCTGTTTATTTTACACTCTGCCACATTTTCACTTTTCAATATCCTGCACATTTTTGTACTGATGATGTGCAACCGCACTGAAGCTTTTGCCAAGATGTGGCAGTACGGGACTGTGGGAATAAGCACACCAAGCAGTGTTTCTCAGGCGGGCCCAAAGAGCCTAAATTCTGCTGACTCTCCTAAGAGCTTGCCGTGGGGCCCTTTCTGCCTCTTCAGAGAAACAGAGTGAAACCAGCACCCCCCTTTCCTCTGAACGCAGCTGTGTATCGCTGCAGGTTGGTTTAGCTGAGTGCTACGAATTGCTGGTTCCAACCAAGAGGGTTGGACCTTAAGGTCCTTTCCAACCCAAAACCATTCTGTGATTCTATGATGTATGAAATGGAGTAAAGGCTCAGAAGACTGATTGAGTTATCTTGGTTCAGCAAATCGCAGCACATCAGCTCAGGTGAATGCTTTCCTGTTGTTTTTGCTGGCAGTGGAGCCAGCCATGTGGCAGAGCTGGCTCACTGGCCAGGAGCAGGGAGGCAGCCCCTTGTTTTGGAAGCAGTGAACCATTAAATTGGCTCATCCATTAAATTGGCTCAGCCAAATTTGTCATTAAATTTGAATTAGTACATATAATAATGAATAATGTGGCAGCTCGCCTCGTGTGTACCTACCCGTCTGTGGCTGCATGGCAATGGGTACTGCAGAGAAGGAGCTTTACACAAACACTTCTGGTGGGAACTAAGAGCAGAGCGAGGAGGTGGTCCTGGCCCGGCTTGGTGTAAATCATCATAAGGGGTTGTGTGGCTGAGGCTTGATTTGGCTGATCACTTCTATTGAGTCTTGCCCTATGTTCAGCAGCAGATGAGTGGCCTTTCTGATAGTTAAATAAAGTAATAAACAGAGCAGTTCACACCTCCCACACCTATGGTTTCCAACCCTTCACTTCCCCAGGGACAACATCATATTGCTGGCTTGCAACTGGCTTTTTCCCAAGACTACTTTGTGCCTGTGGAGGTCAGGAACTTAATTAAAAACGAAAACATAATCAGAAAGCCAGCTGAGTAGCTGAAGGACAGTGCTGCAGCAGGGAAGGGGAAGGAGGATTGCAGACCAAACACTTTGATGGTGGGTGAAATGAAGGGCTGACTGCCTTCTCAAAGAAGACTTGAGCTGTCTCCATTGCAGGGAGGCTTTCATTCG